AAATGAGAGTGTACACACCACTCTGCAGTAGCCTGCGGCTGTTATAGGAAACGTATGAATAAAAGAAAAATAGCAATGTCATCCATCACCCGACAGTGTGCCTGCGATCGTCATAGGTAAAAGTTCGAATAAAAGAAAAGGAGAGAATAGTCTATAAATGTCAATCCATGTCATGAAACATCTGGACGGTTTAAGAAGGTTCTAGAAGGTCCAAAGAAGCTATATAAGTCGATGATACTGACGTCACAGGCGCAGTATAATAATAGATGTTATACGGTAATGTTAGTAGTTGATAGTTGAATTGTAAAAGTTAAGTTATTAATAAATTAAGCTACCAGAGACCAGTGTAACATTGATGACAACGATGGGATACAAAATATAAGTAACCCAAGAATTCATGATAAATACTAGATCCACTGTGTACGAAGCAGATATGGACACTTCAGACCCCCAGCATAGTTTTGAAGATGGAAGAGGAATGGGAAAGGCGAGAAGAGGAAAAAGAAAGCCGCGCAGGAAAGCCGAGGAAGGGGAAAAAGAAAGGCACAGGAAAGAGGAAGAAGAGGAAGAGGAAAGGCGCAGGATAGAGGAAGAAGAGGAAAAGGAAAGACGCAGGAAGGAGGAAGGGGAGAAAAAGAAAAGGAACAGGAAGAAGGAAGATGAGGTAAAAAAAGGTGTAGAAAGGACAAAGAAGAGGAGAAAGAGGAGAGGCGTAGAAAAGAAATGGGTAAAATTATGAATGGTTTGCTATAAATCCAGGAAACCTTCCTGTAAGAGGTTGATCAGCCTAACATTAGAGTAGATATTTTGACAACAAGATATTTTAAAAACTAATGTAGGAAAGCAGCAAGAGAAGTTAAAAAATAATTTTGAATAACAAGAACATTTAAAAACTAATTTAGAACAGCAGCAACATAATTTAAAAACTAATTTAGAGCAACAACTAGAGAATTTAAAAACTAATTTAAAACAGCAACAAGAGAATTTAAAACAACAGGAAAAGGCTAGAGTAGAGTTAAAAAGAGAAATTAGAACGGACATGGTTGAGTTAGGAAAAAGAATTCATAGTCAAGCTTTGGTAAGCAACATTGAAGGTGAAAACACTACCTCGTCTTTATCTATAGCCGAACCAAGTTACATTCAAACCCCAAGGTACACAAAACCATATTAGCAAGACCCTTAAGTTACCTACGTTTGACGGCCAGACGACGTGGGAAACGTATCGACTTCAATTTGAAGCCGCAGCTCGAGCCAATGGCTGAGGCGAGAAAGAGATGGCGGCTTCATTGATAGTGTCGGTGCGTAGACAGGCAGCAACCGTTTTACAGTTACTACTCCAAGAGGAACCCAGTAATTTATCTCTCGTCTAAGCTTTGAAAACAAGGTATATGTACAGTAGCATTTTAAACAGGTATTCCAAAACAAGCTAAAGTTTTGTGGTCAGAAACATAATGAGAGTCTACAGAACTTTAAGGCCGATATGAAAAGATTACTGCATCTGGCCTATCCACAGATGCCCAAATATTTTCTAGAACAAATCGGAATACAGGCATTCATTGATGAACTACAAGATGTGGAAATGCAGCACACTCTTTGACTACAACACCACAAGACGCTAAGTGAGACACTGATTGTAGCTCAGGAATATGAAGCAGCAAAACTCATCTAGATCGTGTCGTGTAAAATTGGGAGAAATTAGATTCCAGAACGGTGAAAAGATCACTACTAATAGTATCCTCCAATCTACTCTCACAAAAATCCTAAACATCATGCAAAATATGCAACGGAACAGCCAAAATTAGAGCAGAAGATGCTTCAATTGCGGAAGAATCGGACACCTTCAAAGAACCTGTTGAATGAGCGCTCATTCTATAAATTGAGAATCAGGAAATGTAACCAGAAATTCACCAATATTAACCTCCCGAAGCCCGTCACGAAGTCCAGCAAAAAATAATAACAGCAGATATGCCTTCCGGAGTAGCCGGTCACTCACCACCCCAGCCGGCTTTCTAGCAATAATCAGGAGGTAGTGCATCAAAGAGACCATCTCCATAGGCGACCCTATTCGGAACGACACTGTCTGGACTCTAAAAGGATAGAAAAACGAGAAGAACCAGTTGAAAAAGTAAGTCTTCAAGTGACTACTATTAAGCCAGAGGGCGACGAAGACGAAATCACCCTTGAAATCCTAAGAAAGGGTCAAAAGAAAGACAATGAGTTGAAAGTTGCCCAAAAATGGCTTAAAAATAGAGACAGACCTACTTGACAAGAGATAGTTAAAAATGGTGAAACTATTAAAATGTACTGGACTCCGTATACCTTTACGATAACCTATTGCACCGGAAGTGAAGTACATGTAGTCCGTCAAATGGTACTTCCAAAGTCACATGTTAGAAATGTGTTGGAGGAGCTTCATAACAGCCATTCAAGAGGACATTTTGGTAATAAACGGACACTGTGTGTGAAAGATTAGTTTAAAAATGTGATTGAGGCAATGGCAGAAGAAGGTATAAGATCCGCTCGAAAACGTTTAAAAGTCAACAGCGATAAAGCAAAGGCTAGAATCAACATGCATACCAAAGGGACACATTTTGAGAGAGGGGACCCAGTATGACTGAAAAAACCAGTGTTACAATATATTTGTATTACATCGATTGACAACCACCTAACTATCGGCTATTGGTCATCAATAATCGAGGCATCTTCGGCATGTACATAGCCTAAGAATATGTGCAGCCGTAATAACCGCTTCAACCCATAACATAACTGGCCAATCTTTTGAATACATCATTGATCTCGCAGTCTATACTAAGGTTCTTAGTCAGGCCATTTTATTCTCTTGTATATGGCAGTGACAAGCGAAAATTTATACTTATGTTTTGAATAATTGTTTTCACATTAACATTATCAAATTCTCTTTTCCAGTCACTAAGAAATTCAATGATTTTAGCTTATGCAGTTGTTACTTCAATAATAAAAATTTTGAATATACATATGTAAAACAGACAAATTATTTTCAACTCCGCCGTAACATTTCTTGCATTAGTCCACATACCTTACAATCTGTCTCTCTCATGGATTAGTAGGTCTAGGTTTGCAAGACTTAAATGACCGTCTATGTACTTTAAAGATGTCCTTCCCATGCAGGGTGTTTCCTGACTACGGTACGAAACTTCAGAAGGTATTTCTTAAGGTCGTTTTATAAGTTCCTATGAACATTTATCCGGAGTTGCTTCGTTTCTGAGATATAGGGCGTTAAAGTTAAAAAAATGGGTATTTTTAAATATCCTTAAAACGATTTGCTTGAAATTTGGTACAGATATTAAAAGTAATAAGGCGCTTATTGAGCCCTAAATAGATTAAAATTATTGGGTCCAGTGGCGTCTCAGTGGACACCACAACCAATATTATTGAAGTGATGTACGCCACTGGTTTTTTTTGTAGTTTTTGTATTTTTTCAGATTAGGCAACTAAAAATACAACTTTTTGGTCTTTCGTGTTTTCTTTACATCCAGCTTCGCTTCCGAAAAAAAAAAATTGAAGCCGCTCTATTGCATAACATGAACATGAAAAAAAGATTTTTTTATTAATATCAAAAAATCATCTCGCCCTTTTATCTTAAACTTGGTACTTACTTTTTTACTAGTTTTATTTCGAGCTGGTAATTAGATTTGACTTAATTATTTCAGGGGCATCTTGGAAGGCAACTTTCAGATTTAGAAAATAAACTTCAATTACTTTATTATAACATTTTTAGCATACCACATCTGCTTTTTATAACAAATTATTGCCAAGTCCAATCAAGTACCTACTTACCTACTTTGGAAACCAGTTCACAGTGATAGTATTGTCTTATCACTTAAATTCAGAGTTGTCAATTGGCAGTGATTCGATCATGAATAACTTTACTCATTCTGAGATGACTGACATGCACTTTATTTATAGATTAGCAAATGGAAATATGGAAGAAGCACGGAGAATTTACCAAAACAGACATTCTAACAGAGTAATTCCATGTGCTAAAACATTTAGATCGCTACATGCAAGTTTAAGTGAAACTAAGAGTTTTAATAAAAATGCAGGTGGTGGAAGACCAGAAACTGTAACAACGCCTGAACTAGAAAAAGCTATACCTCATGCGATAAAGGAAGATTCTTCAAATGTTATCAGGAAGACTGCACTACAGCTTGAAGTTCATACCTACTTCTAACTCGAATCAGTTGTGCTAGTGCATTACTTTTACATCTGCTGTGGGCTTGGTTTTCTCGTCCGTAGTAGCTGTTTCAAGTAGTTCTGGCATATTGTTTTCACCGGTCACTACCCCTAGTACTTCGTAATACCGTAACAAAAGCTCAATCTGGTGAATTTACTTGCTCCAACTTGAAGCTTCCGCAAGTTTTTCAATATGTAAAGACTTAAAATCTATCGCAAATATATACGTTCCTTTTCGTACTTTTACACTAATAAACTTAAAACTCTCTAATAATATTTTTTTACTGAGACCCCTGAGTCCATAACCTGTTGCGATTTAACCAACTGTAGAGAGTTTCACACAATAAATGATTGAGAATCAGAAACAATTTTTATTAATTTAAAAAAAGTACACAAAACTGCCCCTTAAATTTTTATGTTGGCATAACTACGGCAGCAGGTAGAAGATACATTATTTCAAATATTTTCAACAATATAAACCTTTAAATTTGACAGCAATAATCGTTCTACGCATATTTAATACATAGCCTGTGATACAAGTATCGGTTATGCTAGAAGTCGATAAACGTATTGACAGGAAATAACTGATGGCTATCTCCGTAGCTGCCAGTTATCCCATGTAGCCCAATATTGAAAAACTGGCCCTACGATTAATTGGAATACTAATAAACAGTTTGACAATAATTTTACTGACAGCTAATACTCAACCAACACCTAAATTACTTAAGCGTGCACTGATAAACCCATCCTAAGTGTACTCACAACCTACATTTTTCTATTTCTTTTAGTTAGAAGTGTCTCAAATAATAGTAGATGACATCATAGATCATTCAGATGTACGATACAATAAGCCAGTTTGGTGCAAAAAAGATGGGGTTTCACTAGAATTGGCCGTATTGGATAGTCATTATTTGGCAACTGGTGCATATTTGTTGTTAATGAAACACCTAGAAAACCATCAATGTTGTTTGGATATAGTACACCTTTATATGGAAAAAATGTTCATAACTTTCATTACACAGTTTATGGATGTTGACAATATTGGCGTAAAACTTTTTTTAAAAGCGATTCCTTTAAGATTCGATAAAGCTCTGTATATCTTCGATGGCAGTATCAGAAGTGCTTTGTATTTGGCAAATATTAATGATAAAGAAACCCATGAAGCTATGAAGAAGTTCACAATACCAATGAGTAGATTCTTTCAACTTCAGGTGAGAGTTTTCTAAATTATTACCTCTATTTACGATGTTAACATTATTTTATACATAATTAAACCATTTTGTCATTGATATAGGTATACTGTTTTAGTTTTTTTTTTGATATTGTTAAAAAGTAGTTTAAAGGCATGTAACCAAATTATTTTTATACTTTGAAAATAATATAAATTGAATATCAATGAATCCCTATATCCTCTATTTTTATAAGTTCAGTGACACAAATTTCTTTATCCCAGTAAAATAGCATAGTAGGTTGTATTAAGTCAACGAATAAGTTGACTCACGGTTCATAGACAACACGGTGGCCTCATCACGGTTGCTAAGGATACTGTGACGTCACGGAATGAAAAAGTGAGTTAACAGAAAATATTTTACTTGATGTCGTACATTCGTTTTTTAAAAAATCTAATATTTTATTGTTATTTAGTGGTGTTTATATTTTTATCCAATTTTGACACATTAAAATGACTTTATCAATTCCATAACAACAATAACAAATAAAGTTTTATTCACTAGCAACTAAAAGAGTGAGTTAAAATTTTTTTAAGTCACTAGTGACCTAAAAAACTTTTAAGTCACTATTAGTTAACCTAATAATGTACCTATATTACTGTCGACAGCCAAATGTGGAAGTCGCTATTTAGGTATCGATATTAGCACTCTTTAGGCATGTGTGCATATATTATGTAAAGCCAATATAATAAACAATGGAATCAGTCTAAAAGTTTTATTATAAAAATCAACTTGTAACAATAATTTATGGAAACAATGAAAACAATAATACCTAATGGAAACTACAATGAAAACTATCTTTGCATAATTATTTTTTATAATCAAAATAAAAGTTACAGTTATTTAAATTATTAAACTGGAGCTTCATTTCGTTGTTTAATGGAATAGTTAGTTGCTCTGAAACATTAGAAACTACGTTTGAATGGATGGATCCATTGTTAGAATCGATGTTTATACCGATGGCGATGGGTTCATTGTTTAAATTGGAAATTTGTAATGTATTCTCCGATATATTATATTTATTATTGGCTACTGTCCCAGCTTTTTCAGGTGCACCTACTGCGACTTCATTACCCAATATTTTTCTTGAAATTTCTAATTTATTTCTTATAGACTGTTCAACATATCCTTCTGCAACTGAGTCAGAACGCCATCCCCCATATCTTTTTAATATCGATAAATTGGCGTCTGCTTCCGCCAGCAAAGAGGCAGAGGATCGTCTAAAACTATATGTCCAGTATAGTCTCCCGCATTTTCTAAGCCAAGAAACTCTGCTATCTTCTGAGGCATTTTGGAAAATGTGTTGAAACCTACAGGCTGTACCGTGCATTTTTCATTTTTATAGTTTAGGAATAGTCGTGTATGTGGTACATTTTGCGGGCGCAATTTCTTATATTTCTGAAACACATCAATTGCATTGATATTATTGCTTCCATTGACAACAGTGAATATTCTTCCTTTGTAAGTTTTAGTTTTGGGAATTTTCACCACTAATACACTTCCTCTGTCGTCAACATTATTAGTGGACACCGCTACCAGTTCGCAAATTCTGCAGCCTCCTGAAACTCCCATTATCAAAGCTACTTTAAGCAGTAAATACTTGTCATCAGAAGTAGTATCTAAAAATTTTTCGACGTCTTCTCTGCTAAATACATTTGATTTCTTTGGTATATATCCCACTGATTGGTTCTTTAAAAATGCTTTCACTTGGTGAAATCTGAAAAAGTAACCTTTTATTAATTCAAACGTCTATTTTTTAATATAATTTAAAAACCTACTTGCTTATGTTCACATTTTCTTTAACGGACAACATCTTAAGTTGCGAATAATAGGACTATAATGACGAATACTTCACATTTTTTTATTTTTCAGATATGTATGCCATTATTATCTTCTCGTTAACTCATTTAACCTGCTTTTTGTTTCGCCATAGGCAAAAAAGCATATACTCCTTCTCGTACAATAATTTAGATTTATTGGGTACTATTTTTGCTAAAGCCTCATTTGCTGCATTTAACACTTCTTCTGGAACAAGTTCTCCGTTCACAAAATCTAAGATATCCATTTTTCCAAAATTTTAAACGAAAATTAACTCTTTTGCCGATGTTGTATATCGTAGATTTTAGTCAATAACAGTAATATTCAACTAACTATAAACAAAGTCTAAATAAACAAGCCCTGTCAACGCCTAACAACCAGACTTAATATAAATTGCACCGACTATTACATTGCCATAAATGGTTGTTAAATACAAAATTAAATTTAAAAAACACCTATATTTTGATCTAAAAATGTCAAAATTGTATACGCCTCGTGAGTTAATTAATTTCTTAACTCACTTGGTGTATAAATATCTATTATTTTTGAACTTTCTTCTGGTGTAGAGTTTTTATAATATCGGTAGTGTGATTTTTTGAAAGATAAGCTACAAAACAGCAAGGAAAAATCATGTAATGATCTAAATCAAATTTCAAATAAATTACTTTTTATTTGAATTATAAAGAGAAATATTATTGTGTGAATGGTTTATTTTAAACATTTTGGATTATGGTACGGCCTAAGAACTGAATTCAGATCACACTTTGTTTATATCCCGAACTATTTTGAAATGTTGGCAAGCCTGTAGCTAGCAGTAGTGTTGCTGTTGCCTACCAAAAGTTCCAAATAATTTTTAATTTTTACAGACAAAAATCGTTAGAAGTAATAAAGAGCCTAAACTAAAATTAAAGGCTTATGGTAAGATTTTCGAGTATTATTCTGAAAATATCATCCACTATTATTAAATTAATTGCAGCTTTGTTCACCCTACTTTTAAAAGCAGACGACATGGTTTCTTAGAAGCATTAAACAACAAAAAGCAAAAAAAGTCAAAGGGCTTTACTGAAAGACCCTACATTATTGAAAAAAAGGGTTTGCTACAGGAACTTTTTAGTAAAAAGTAGTTACAAATAATTTTACAGCAGAAAACAGGGACCCGTTGGACTTCGGAAGAAACATAAAATATATTTATATCAGATATAAAAAAGATATTTTGTCAGTTTCTAGGATGTATGAACAGTACTTAGAAAAAAACAATAAAACAGCAACCCATTTTTATTACAATAATCTATAAATATAGGTACCAAATTAGAGAAAAACAGTTTTATCTATTGTGTATATATACATATAATACACAGAGGAGATAATACATATACTTGGAGTACTTAAGGGCGTGCATTGGAACAGAGAAGTCTGAACAAGTCCTCCCAGAGAGAGACAAAATAAAGTTATCCGAGAGGTGCTGCCTCTAGTTAGCAACTAAGTAACAAATATACGTTCTCCATTTTCGCATCTGCGAATAAAAATGTATACTTCTAAACTCACAGGTACGGGCTTTTATATGGTATAAATTAAAATTTTTTTGACTTTGCCTCCCACTTCGGTGTCACCAGCTGAATTTTTCAGGGATGAAAGTACATGATAAGCTTACCCTTATTCCGGAGGTAATACAAAATTAGACAGTGCAAAAGGGCACTATCATAAAAAATCGAGTTATTGATACCACCATATAGAAAAAAAAATTGCTTATTTTTTTGTTCTAATGCACAATTAGGTCTTTGTAGGAAGTGTTTTTTATAATTATTTAAAAAAAATCATTTGCATTAGCCCTTATGGTCGAAAAAAAATTTAAACGTAAATATCTCGGTTTCAACCGTCCACAAATTTGTATAAAAAATCTTTTTTTAGAAATATACCTCTCATTTGACGAAAAACAAAGGCCTAAATGAGAAAAAACTATTCTTCATAAAAGTTTCGCCTATGTATTATCAAAGTAACAGTGCTTTCCCCATATTTTTTGCTTTTATATTAACAAAAATATAGCAATAAACAATTAGTTATATCATGGTTTAACTAGAAAGCAAACATTGAAGGTAAAGCTTCTCGACTCTCTTTCTTCTCTCTCAGTGCTAAAATGTATGCAATCAGTTTGACTCTCATATTATTTTATTCAGGGATTATTGATTTATACGCTATGATTTATTTTTGTATTTTTTTGAGGAAAATAAAAAATAAGAAAATATGAACTATTTATTGAAGGTATAGATGCAGTATATATAAGTATCGATTATTAACAGTAAGGCTATTGCTTTGCAAAATACAATAAATTCCCAATGTAAAAAACATAATAATAATAATTAAAAGAATACCGGGTGTTCAAATTAAAGTGTTATAGTTAAATACCGCCGAAAATATGCATTTTAGAAAAAAAAGTTTCAGGCGAAAGTTTTATAGTTTTTTGGGGGAAACATTTTGGCTAAAATTTTTTTTTTATAGCTGATCATAATATGGCCACGTCGAGGTGGACTTTGTTTTTTAAATGGGAACCCCATTTTTTTTGTAAATATTCTTAAAGTACATAAAAAAATAAGAAACTTTAGATGGAAATAATTTTCTTATTCGACTTTCACTTTTTGAGTAACAGCTACTTAAAAATTTTGGTAGGCGAAAAAAAAGTTGGCCATATTATGGTTAGCTGAAAAAAACGATTTTAGCAAAAATTTTTCGCCACAAAACTATAAAACTTTCGTCTGAAACGTTTTTTTTTTTATAATAGGCGGTATTTAGCTGTAACACTTTAATTTGAACACCCGATATAAAGCATAAATTAATATTATTAAAATTTATAAGTACAAGACTTTTAAACTAATCAGAATCAGATTCACCACACGAATCAACATTTTCCAAAACATTAGCGGCTGTGATCAAACTTTTGCTGCAGTTTTTCTGTGCCATACAGGTAGGTGCAGGAACCGATACAGCCAATATTTTTTTCCTGCATTTACAAATTTTGCTTTCTTAGTCTAGAACAGAATAATATTATTAGAATATTGTACATCTATGAAAATTATCGGTGTATAGTACCTTTTTTGCATTTGCATGTTATGTCTGGTGGCAGGTCGGACAGAGTCTTAGAGTGGGTATCAGCCTTCCATCTTGATCTA